GAAGGCTTATATTTCAACACAGACATCTGAGAAGCTAAATTCAGTCTGGTAATGGATATAATAAAATTACAGCTCTGAGACACTTCTGCAGTCAGGAACAAAAAAAAAGAAAAAAAGAAAAAGACATTCCACCTGATCTTCTCTATTCTCCAGTCATTAGCAACACCACTAATGTAATTGGCACAATATGATCCGATCATATAGTAACAGGTCAGACGAGAACACTTACAGCAGTGCTTTTGTTTTCGAATTCGTCTGTTAAAATGAAGAAGCATAGCACTCACAATTACCTTTTACAACTCAACATATATGCCATGTGAAACTCATCCTAAAAGGGAAGCTTACATACAGTATATGCAAACTAGCACAACAATCTAATTTTGCTGGAAATGTTTCCTATTCTATCGTCTCATAGCAAAATTGGTGATTAAAAACTTCACACACCTGAATGACAGCACTGAACCAGCAGGTATTTCCTACATTACGGATGCCCACGGGACAGTCCTCCTGTCGGATCCAGTCAGCGGGGCTGCAGCTCTCTCCAGATGCCTCACACCTCTTCCTTTTCATGCGGGCCGCATTCTCTTCTGCACTAACCTCAAGAGCCCTAGAGTAGAAATAGGAGTGGGTGAGACAGTCAAGACCAGAGTCTGATAGTTACTGCTGTGCCCATGATTCTTAAATTCACAAAAATCACTGTAGTAGGGGAGAAGGGGGAAATTGTAAAGCTCTAAATTGGTTCATTCACACTCAGGTTTGAGTGATTCTCTCTCTCTCTCTGCCAGGGAAAAGGGAGTTTAAGCAAAGGATGTTTAAACTTTGTCTTTAAATTATTTCGAGAAATAATTTTTGGGGGTGTCCAAGAATGTCCTTTCTGTTTTGATGCCTTTGAGTTTAAACATTCTTCAAGTTGTTGGTTAAAAGTTAACAAATGATTTTGGAGGTAACACTAACATTATTTGTAGTATGGCATTAAAATCAAATTTAAGACTAAACAGATAGAAAAACTGAAATCCTTTAAAGGACATAATAAACATTACTTGATCAAAATGTCGAGCTGAAGGAATGTTTTAGACTTTGTCAGCTGATCAATACATATTTGTAGAGATTTAAAAATGGTAATTTACTTAATGTATTTTTTAATTGGTTATTGTTAAAAAATGTAATATAGTGAAAAATAGTGAAATAATAGTGTATAGCAGAAACAAAAATAATATATAATAGAAATAGAAATAATATATAATAGTGAAAATCATTAATTACTATTAAAATGTATTAAAGCAATGATATAACTTTAAGGAGTGCTCTTATTTGAGATTCAGCGTGTTAATATAATCAACAATTACAATTTTCCCCAACCAATGTTAAAATCAACTATTTTCTAGTATTTGACTCAATAATAAAATATGATCTAGTCCTTTTGATTATAAGTTGATTATAACTTCTGGCACAAGTGGGTGACATATACACTACGTTTCAAAAGTTTGGGGTCGCTAAGATTTTTAAAAAATGTTTTTGAAAAAAAGTCTCTTATTATGTTCACCAAGGCTGCAGTAATTTGCTCAAAAACATAGTAACAACATTAATATTGTGAAATTTCATTAGAATTATTTTAAATTTGAATGCATTTTAAAATGTAATTTATTCTTGTGATGGCAAAGCTGAATTTTTCAGCAGTGTCACATAACCCTTCACTAATACACTATTTTTTTTTAGGATTCTTTGATGAATAAATAGTTCAAAAGAACAGCATTTATTTGAAATATACATCTTTTGTAACATTATAAATGTCGTTAATCTCACTTTTGATCAATTTAATGTGTCCTGGATAAATAAAGGTATTAATATCTCTTGAAAAATAAATCTCACAGACCCCATACTTTAAAAGAAAGTGTACTTTTGGCGCACATTTTTCTTATGTCAAAAGGAGATGACTAGTACATTTGTAGAAGTCTATGAGTTTATGAAGAAAAGTGTAAAAATGTTACAATTGCCCCAGTCTACCCTATCAGGAATGAACCTGTGCAGCTCTCTGCGCTCCGCTTCAGCCTGCTGTGACTCCTGAAGACTGAGCTCAATGGCGGTCTGCAGATCGTCTTTAGCAGAACCTGAGAACAATTCCAATTACATAAATAAATATCATGGCATTATGACTGCTATATTAATCAATTCTTCTTTGGAAAATGTGATGACATGAAAGTAATTTTCAGCCCACCATTCTGTGCATTGGAGGTGTTCCTCTCATTGTTGGCTTTAGTGGGTTCTTCGGGCATGTGCTCCTCCTCTGTGGGCTGGCTGGTCAGAAGCCCAATGGCATGGGTGATGTCACCCTGACTAGCCTAGATAAAGAGTTTTTTTGCAGTTAGTCTAGTGAAATACAAAAGAACATGAGTTCGGGCACTAAATATTTCGCTTTAAGGTCATCAGACCTACATGCTTTATTTTAGTACCACTTCTAGGTTACCCAACCCTCACAGATAAGGGAAACTCTTGCACATGGTATGATTTACATATTTACAAACATTTGTCTGGCTTATTTTCTATTAATATCCGTGTCAATAACATTGCATCTGCTGCTTGTGTTATAAACACACGGATAAGTGCTGCTGTGCTAAACATACGTTCAGGGCGCTCTGGAGAACCTGCAGATCCTGAATGCCAGTAATCTCTCTGAGCTGGTTAAGTAGCATTTGGCTCTGAAAAAGACAAGCAAACATGCTGTTTTTTAAATTTCTGTGGATCAAAAAATGTAAATGCTTTGCCACGGGCATATTGAGAATACTTCTGTTCGTGATAACAGGACTCACTTGAGCAATTAACAACTCAATAACAGGATCCGTTCCAGAAAAAAAAGAGCAGGTGTGAACTGATAAGTTAAAAACAAGAATATGATATGAGATGTAATTTGCACTTGGATTTAACACCCGGCATAACCGCATCTCTGACTCAGGTGTCAAATGAGCGTGGGTTGGAGGAGTCTATAGCTGGCCTGATCAACATTTATGAAAGTCTCCTGCATGAAAATGTCTACATCGTACATTAAATCCATATCAGATTTGATTTTTTCCAAATACAGTATGCCTGAAAATAGGCTTTAGCATGTGCCATGTAAACGTTTTTAAAAAGAAAAGTCTTTGGCCCAGATAATAGATGCAGGAGCTACAGAACTATATAAAGAAACTCTGACAGCAGGTGGGAATGTTAGCATGGTTGTGGAGGGAGGCAGCCAGTCACCCTAGGCAGGGAGCAGGAGACATATATGGTGAGCTGGAGGCCTGTGAGCGGCACTCAGAGCTCTATTTTGGGCCTTCGACACAGATAGCGCCTGTGTTTATCATGAGCTTGAGTGACACAAGAAAAAAAAAAAAAACATACAATAATTCCTGTTCATTCAGAGGATAACATTAAAGCTTAAAACTTGATTTAAGGGAAAGAAACTAATTTAAAACATTTCAAATTAAGCCCTTTCCAATCTGAACAACTATTGGAGTTTCTATCATAATCTGGAAACAATCCTAATGGGATCAAATTAAATTCATATAAGAATCAAACAAGTGGATAAACAGAAAATTTTTCAATAAGAAAATTCCTATTAGGATCCTTCTGTATTGGTTCCAGATTAGGATAGAAATCCAAATTGTATTTGATTAGGATTTTTTTTAAACATACTTTATTAGTTACATTAAAATTACAGTTCTGTTAGAGTCAGTCTACCACTAAAAAACAGTTTAAATGGGAAAATATTACAGTGACAGTCACTGCTGTGTCTATCTCATCAAGCATTGTCACAATTTGGCTATTCCAATTTGACTACATGTTCTTTAAAATACAACACACTCACCGAGTTTTCAGACGTTTCCCCATGTTCAAAATCCTGTTCAACTTTCATGGCAATGACTTGTTATATATATATAAATTTATATATATTTCTCCAGATTGCTTCGCCCTGACTCCAGAGAGTGACCTACTCCATATGCCCACACACACACACAAGCGCCGCGCGGGACAAACACTCACTGACTCAAGCGCGTGCTGGGAATCGTCGTGCGCGCGCTTGGTACACAGAAACGAATCCTCTGTCAAACGTTTTTTAATCTAACCCACGAACCCATTAATCATGAAAGTCTCATCCAGACAGAGGTAATGTGGTTTAAACGTAAATAAAACGTAAATAAATAAATGGATGCCCAAAATGTATGTAACAGTTAACGATTTAGCCTACTACATTTAGGCCTATATCGATTTCATTTGTTACTTTCAGTAATTTTGTTTAATTTATGACACTGTTGCCCAGTAACTAGTAGGCCTAGGCCCTACGTTATTTTTTGCGGAACATATTGTTGCTTTAGTTATGGTATGTAAACAAAACAATAATAAATCTTACTAGTATGTAACTTATAAAGCCTAGTTTTTGTCGGCCCCCCAAAAGCATATTTCTTAAACCGACATCATATCTGATATTTTGCCTACGTATGCTACTCAAAAATGTCTTACAATATCAAAGTAATTTGTATATGACGACAAATTTTCCACACGCAGCCTACTGTTGTTCCTATACACTTTGGGAAAAAAAGTAAAACAATATTTAGGACCAAACTAATATTAAAAAGCAAGAAAATTTGTATAGGGTAGAGGTCTAGTCTAGCGTTTGACAGAACAGTCTATGTGGCACTAATTTAGGGATGACTTTTTAGAACACCTATTGAAAACTTAAGAAAAACTTAATTTACATCACGCAATGCTGTTTACATATCACTCTATTTATTGTGTATTTGATAGACTTCTTGACAAAGAATGTCATTACAAAAGTAAATAAAACAAATTACAATGATTTTGTTCAAATATGCACCAATTCAGTAAAAGCAGCATTACAATCCTGCTCATGCTCAATATATAAATAAGAAATAAATTATGTGTTTTTGGACGATTTTACTGATAATAGTTGATTGCATAATTGTGATTATGTATGTATCATGTCCCATTATTCTCTATAGTATATAGGGTCCATGAACTGAGCAGTCAGAGTACACATCCAATTCACTAAACCCAGATCTTCTTACCATCATAATGGAAAATCAATTTGCTAGAGTGGTGAGCAAGTTGCTGCTGTGCATTTGTTGCAGTCATGTGTACAACGACCATTCTGATGCTCCATGGCATTCTGCTGGAATAAAAGGCACTTTGTAATTGGGTAACATTTTAAAAGCTGGGACAAAGGCTGTGGAAAGTGATTTGAATAAGTTTGCATTTTTCTTCTTCTGAAGTTCCTGGAATTGAATTGCCAGGATGAGTCCTGTCCTCTTGCTATCTTTGGTTCTGTCAGGTAAGTCCAGTGCTGCTTCTTTTTTTACTGTATTAAGTATACAAACATTCAGTTATAGCTGCTTGCATTAACATTTATTATTCAAAGGATACAATACAATTAGAAACATTTGACCTTTCAGTGAACGTTGTACTTGCTGTGAATTTATTGGAATGAATGTGATTGAATTCTGTATGCTGCCAATCCATACTGATAATTATAGCATAATCAGGATCTGCACTTATTAACATTTCTGTACAGCTATTCCACGGGCTGAGTTAGTCCCAGAGAAACCAAAGAGATCTGCTCTGAACCAACTCACCAGGTTACTGCTTCGCAAATACGACTTGGGAGTTCGGCCTGTCCATAACTGGACCAAACCAACTACCATTTACATTGACCTTATAATCAAATCTGTCCTGGATGTGGTAAGTACTTTTTAACCTTTAGAGAGGTTCATCGTATGATTAATATTGCATATACATCTATCAGGTGAAGTTTTTTTTATATGCAATGCATAGGAGTGTTCACTGTTAGAAGTTGTTAACTAAATAAACGTACTGCACAGGTGTTAAAGTATGTTTGCTCTCCATGTCAATATAATAAAGTAATTTTGCGCCTGCCTTTTCACAGGACGGACAGACTCAGAAAGTTACCACCAGCATTTGGTATCGCCAAGTTAGTATCAGTTATTTTTGTCTAATTAGTGGTAATGATTCATAATGAAATCAGCAGCATGGTTGTATAGCATAAACTTTCAGATCAAAATATTCGGATTAGTCTGATGTTCATTGTTTACGGTATAGCTTTAAAAAAAAAAAAAAGCACTGTAACCTCTTGAAATCAAACCATCTGACATTTGACTTTAACCTGAACATTTACTTTTATTCTGAATAATATCAATATACCTATACATATATATATCAAAATGTTATTACGTTAAATTTTAACATAAAAGACATTTAATTTGACCTTTCTGAGACAGGTCCAGCAAAGAAACACACACAATAATCAGATTTTTGAAATGTATGAAATCTAAACGTTTCAGAGATCTGAATCTTTCTCATGGGACCTGCTAGGTGGTAACAGTAAACCCCATTACTCTAATGTTTCAGATATGGAACGATGAGTTTCTTGTTTGGGATCCTGAAGAGTTTGATGGAATCACTGAAATATCGCTGTCCTCGGATGCCATCTGGGTGCCTGATGTCATCATAAGTGAATTGTATGTACATGATAGATGTATCTCTCCTGCCCGCATCACAAGCTCCTTTTGTTTCCTGGAAATGAATTTTGTCGCGTTATACTCTCATTGCATCATATGTCTTCCTCTCTCTCTCCAGCGTCCATGTTGGCAAATCCCCAGTCATCCCATATGTTTATGTCAACTGCTCAGGAACAGTAAAAAACTACAAACCCATCCAGGTGGTCTCAGCATGTCACCTGGAGATGTATGCCTTTCCCTTTGACAAGCAGAACTGCACTGTGACCTTTCGCAGCTGGCTCCACTCAGGTAAATGACTCACTCATACACAGCTCGTGCTTTCACTCCTTTACAAACAAGCTGGTCTCTCTCTGTATAATGAGAGTTGCTGTGATTACTGAGTGTTTTTGATCAGCCCAGGTTAGAATCTTTAAAAAGCTGACACTTTAAATGAGGTTCTCACAAACCTGCCAACATAAATACTTAATTCTACCATAACACAATGAACTGCTCATGTGTTTCTCTGACAGTGAGTGAAGTGGATTTAGCTCTATGGAGGCCTGCTGAGGAAATCGCCAGTGACACCAGAGAGTTCATGAATGATGGTGAATGGGAGCTGCTGTCTATCCCTTCTCACTACTGGACATTGAATCTAGAGGACAGAGACTACGCGCAGATTCAGTTTAATGTGAGGATTAATACTGAGTTTATTCATGCAGTAAAAATGACATTCAATGGCAGCTTTAGACTTCAATTTTTCAGATACACTTTGTTTCAAAGCAGCTTTACAGTAAATCAGAAAACATTATTGTTTATAATATCCTAATAACTTTAGATTAGATCTGGGCGATAATAAAGTTTACATTCTGAATTACAGTTGGGATTTGCTGTAATGTATATCGCTTTACGTGAGTGCGACAATGCGGATAAATTAATGAAATTAAATTAATTAATATAAAATTTATTTATAGAGCTGAGCAATAATATTGTTTAATTTTTGAGACAATATATGCAATCACACAGCCGGGATATTTATATAAATAACTTATTGCTTTATGTGAGTGTACTGTATGTATGCACTATAAAGTATATCCAAATTTATATATATATATTGCTGGACGATAATATTGTTTATTTTTTGCGACGATATAAGCGATCAATGAGTTGAGATTTTTATGTCCCTTTACATGAGTGTACAGAATATATGTGGGTAAAGTTAGATTTTGTAGTTTGTAGTTATTATTGTTAGACAATCATTTTGTCTGCTTAAAATTTATTACAGTCGACTGCAAGTTCACATTCAATCAACAACCGGTCTCTGCACTTCATTTTTTTTCTTTTTCAATCGTTTCACTCAAATGCACATCACAATATAGAAAAGATCTGCCGCTACTTCCTTCACATTGCGACTTTAAAATATCTAATGTGATTTAATTTGAAATAATTTCAAAATATATTATATTTCAATTGAATGATTATTTCATTTTATTTTCATTTCTAAAATTAAATAATATTTCAATGTACTTTTCTATTTACTTATCACTGCCAAATCTGACTTGAATTTGGTGTTTGACAAATGTTCATTTTGGAGGCTGACTGAGACATTGGCACGTAACCGTCCGCCGGACACACTTTCACAACCCTTCTCCAACCTTTGCATGGCTGTTAGCGGACTCACACTAATGCTAATAGATGAGGCTTAGCGGCAGACAACACACAGCAAGGATGATGATAATGAGACTGTCTTTCTGGCATTTGATCAATGAACGTCGTGTTCAGTGGGAGAAATAGGCCGATAGCTCACACTCGTGGGCAATCCACCCTGTTCCACTAAGATAGGCACACCATGGAAACGGCTGTGTTCTTTGATTACCTTTGCTCTGCGGCTCATTGACGAAGCCATTTAGAGATCCATATTTGTGTTTTTTACTCATTGGGCAAATGGGTGGGGAACATGTTTAAGTCAGTTAGAAATTGCTCTTTGTTGTACTGTGAAAGCTTAAGCATCCTTAAATAAGGAAAGTGAAATGGATGGTCCTGATCCAGATGAGGGGCAGCGAGGGGAAATAGTTCATTGGCAGTGAGGTTCGGTTCTCAGGGGGAGCTGAGGTGTGGGAAAACAATTTCAGTTCTAGAATGAGAAATTGGACCGATTTAGCAAATCCAGGAAATGGGGAGAAGGCTTAAAGTCCCTGTAAAGGCAATTTTAACAAAACATTCTAAACACATTCTAAAGGTTAGAAATGTATTGCTAAAACATATTACAAAGACTGTGAACTGTGAAGTACTGAATTGTGGAGTTAGACCGTTAAACAGTTTTTCACCCTGGCAATTTCACGGATTTTTTGGGCGGGTCTAAAACAGGGCTCGATGACGCACTGGAGCTCTTGGACACGCCCCTACTCGATGACGCACTGATACTGATCCCTCTAACAATATAAATAGAGCACATTCGCATCAGTTTGGCGCTCATTTGCGAGTTACTGTCAGTACTATTATCAGTTACTACAGCCTACAGTTTGCTATCTAGCCATGCCTTCGTCACGGAAATGCGTACTACTTGGATGCAATCATTTGCAAAACAGATCGGTGTCCTTGTTTAAATTTCCTAAAAACGACGACATCAAGAAGAGGTGGATTAATTTTGTGAAGAGCCACCTTGATGGAGAGCTGAGGATCACCAGCCAAACCCGCCTCTGTAGTGATCATTTTACTCGTGATAGTTTTATAAACTTTCGTCGGAGACAACTGGGATTCACAGATAATCCGTTGTTACTGGTGAAAGGTGCCGCACCGACTATCTCTCGCCTCGGCCTTCATCCTCCCGTCCCGCCGACAACTGGCGCCATCATCGGCAATGCGTGCCCACCAATGAGTGTAAGTTGCCTTGTGTGCTTGTTATAATTATAGTAGGTAGTCCACTGTAACTACTAAATTCTGCAACCCTCTAACGTGATTTTTATTTAACGTTATATGATCAAAATTCCTTAGCCAAGTAATTTAAACTAGTATCTGTTCACAAAGCAGTCCCTTATCTAATGGATTTATGCACATCAATTTATCGTTAATATAACAACCATGATGGCTATTAGTTTGATCTATAACTATAAAGTGTAAATATATTTTTTAATCAGTTGTTTATTGCTAGTCTAACTTAGTTTGATCTATAACTATAAGGTGTAAAAATATGTTGTTTTTTTCTGTTATTTATTGCTAGTCTAACTTTATTTGTCTAAGTTAGGTTAAGCTAGTTAACGTTTACTTACATATAACTTAGCTAACTTGCATAAAAGGGAGAGAAAAAATTTACCATTCTGTTGCAGAGCGAGGGGGACGATGTTGACTTCCTTGGTCAATGTCTTCTGAATCGGATTCAGGCTCTGGAGGCTCAAACAAATATGGCTTGGTATAACCTAATAAGCTGCTAGGAGCATCCATTTCGGCTGTAGCGGGTCCCGTCGAGTGCAGCTTTCCCGCGAGTGGGCGTGGTTTCAGCGCAGCCAGCGGACACGCCCCCAGCGTTTGAGAGCAGAGAAAACTGCTCATTTTTTCAAGATTTTGATAGCTTATTTTATGTACTTGCCGGCTTTTTTTATCATTCAAATTTGGCTGGGTGGCTAATAACACATTTTTCTGTGGTGTGACAAACTCAGAACACATACTTAATTTTGACTTTACGGGGACTTTAAGCTTGTTATGTAATTCCTCTTCAGACACAGCCATTTCAGACTGCCCCTAGAGCAGTTTTTTTTTCTTTTTCTGAAGGCAAGTGATGAAATAAATATCACCCAGAGAGCGTTCAATCCCAGCCACTCTGTCTCTCTCTCTCTGAAGGTGCTGATCCGCAGGCGCCCCCTGCTGTACGTGGTAAGTCTGCTCATCCCCAGCATCTTCTTCATGGTGGTGGATGTCACCAGTTTCTATCTGCCTCCAAACAGTGGAACTCGCATCACTTTCAAGACCAGCATTCTCCTGGGCTTCACTGTAATCAGAGTCAATCTGATGGATGAAATCCCTGCCACAGCCATTAAAACACCCCTCATTGGTATAGTACAGCCAGAGCTTTTCCTAATCACAATGTTTCCCTATTGACAACCTCACCTCACTGACAATAATGTCTGCTCTTTTTTCCATAGGGGTCTTCTTTGCTGTTTGCATGGCGCTGCTGGTGCTAAGTTTGTCATTGTCCATTTTCGTAGTGAAGCTTTTGCATTACAGTGAGACAGAAGTCAAGGAGATGTCCATATCTGCCTGCTTGCTAGACAAATACGGCTCGATGGACCAGAGCTTTTTTGAGAGCGCTTTCACTTCGATGAAGACGCTGGATGATATGGACCAATCAGGGGGTAGGAGAGAGAATATGATCCATTTATCATGTTGTTTACAGGTTCTATTCGTTGACATAAGTTATAAACAACATTCATTTGTTAGTGTTAACAGTACTAATACTGTATTGTTAACATTTAAGTAATACTGAATATTCTTATACAGTATAACAGTTTATAATAATACATTTAAAAAAATAATATAATAAATTATGGACTTGTTTGTTGGACTATTGTTCATAAATTAACATTATCTAGATTAATCAAATATATAACTTTATATATATATATATATATATATATATATATATGTCTTCACTCGCTGAAGGAGTGACGACAAATTTGAAATCTTTCTCTCTTCTGACCAACATAATCAATCTCTCTATATTTTTCCCTCTTTTGAAAAGATGTGGGAACTCTATTACAGATTTTTTTTCTTTTGCTATTAAACCAAATGAAAATACAAAAATTATATTTTTTATATAAAAATTATAACTATATCTCCCGTTCACCACTATAGAAGTTTACCCAACTATGATGTCTTCCGCTTCTGAGAACCCCGGAAAATTCTCTATATAGATCAGTGGTTCATAGTCACCATTGTCCATGACAACACTGTATAGGCGCTACTTTCATGTCTCATAACACATTGTAAACACACGCTCTCTTTTTTCTGTAGAAGCAAGTTAGTGAAAATGACCTCAGACGACTTCAGTAGGCTATTAATATCACTGTAATATTGTTGCAATGTTCGTTAAGATATTATACCTATACCTATTATATCAAATGTATTGTGTGTGTGTGTGTGTGTGTGTGTGTATATATACCACATGCTTTTAAATGGCTTAAGATTTGTTCTCTTTGATTCAGGCTACGAGTCTGATCTCTCTCCAGAGCCAGACCTGTTCTCCCTGACAGATGTCTCAAACAGTGACTCTTCACTGGAGAAAATCCTGCAGGAGGTGGTGTCTCTCAGACTGTACCTTCAGGAGGAGGACAGTGAGGGCATTTCACAGTCTTACTGGGTGGAACTGTGCCTGAAAGTGGACAAGCTCCTCTTCTGCATGTACCTGGTGTTTATGTTCATCTATGTGATGACTCTCCTGCTGCTCTGGGGAACCTGGAGCTCTGCCTGAAAAAAAGAGGTTGACAAAAAGACAAAAACGGAGGCAGAGGGGTTGGAGAAAGTTAAAACAAAGTGAGACAGATTCCACAACTGCAGTTTCAGTTTTAAAGTATCAAACACTTTATTTGCCATTGATGCCTGCTATTCACATTAATTCAGATGTGCTTCTGCAGATTGACACTAACAAAAAATTTGACCAGTTTCCTAAGGAGATTATTGTAAAACATTTGAACTTTATTTCAGATGTAAAAATCGTAAAGACTATCTGCAAGCAAGTATTCTTTGTGTTGTATGTGTTTGTATTGAGTAGAATAAAGGAAAACAAATTATTGTACTAATTTGTATTTATTGTCTTTCTCTTCCATGCTTCTCTTAATGATTGTAGCACACCTCTCTGACATAAATCTCCACTCATAAGAATGGAGGTGTTTATTTATGTTAATACTTTTTAAAGGTATGGTATCTATAATTTTGAATGTTAAATATTCATAAATAAGTGGAGATGGAGTGGAACTCAAATGTAGAATCTTAAGTTGGCTTGATTACGTTATATAAACATTTTACTATAACTGCTTTGGTAATATTTTTTTTACTGTTGCAAAATCTAAAAATGCTTGCAAATAAATAATGTTGCAAAATAATTTGTATTGTTGAGATGTTTTGAGATTTTGTTCTGCTAAAACTCCAAATAAATTATTTTTATTTTTATTATATTATTGAAATGTATATGTCATCATTTATGTCCTGGATGGTACTAATGAAAATACAATGAAAAACTGTTTAAGCAAAACGTCTAAATCCTCTTGTAATTTCTAAATTAACTGATTTTTATTGAACTAATTTAATATCTGAATAAATTTGACTAGATAGGCTTACATAAACAAAAGTCATTTTTAGGGGACAGAACAGGTAACAATACATCCTTTAAAAAAAGATTAAAGAGCATTCTTTGAAATATCACACATAACATATAATGAGAGTGAAGAACCCTTCCCTGTACTGTAACATAATCATATATCAAGCTCCAGTTTCCTTACTGAAAAATAAACCACAATCACTTCCACGTCACTATCACTATAGTACATTTTCATTACAGAGCTTCTCAGAGCTGCCTGTCCAGTCAGAAAAAAACAAACACATAATTCAATTCCTCATCAAAATTCTGATAATATTTTCCTGACTCAAATCTAATCACCTGCCAATTGCCAGGCTAATTAAGTCTCATCATGGCTGGGCGAAGTATAAGATCACAGTTTAATGTAGTAGTCTAAGTGCTCATGGAAATTGACTTGAACTGGTGGTGAAATATGACCCATAAAATGTCAAAGGTAGCTGTAATTCATATACGCTCTCCGCTGTCGAGGGGAAAAACACAAACATAAACACGTACACTTTATGCTGTTTAACCTATTACATTTAAAATATTTAACACAAATACACCACAGCCTCAATGCTTCATTCTTAAGGTGAGGCCTAATCAAAGATAGTGCTTACAAAATAATTGTGACTAAATAGTTATTTTTAAGCACTGTGTCACATTTATACAGTTGAGAAATAGTGTATAAGAAATAGTACACTGTTATTTTTTTTTTTCAAGATTACACTTGCCATGCTTATATAGTTAATTCTCTCCTATGTGACTCTTGGGACAAGCTGAAGTGCTTTCTGACCTGGCTAAACTGTGGGATGATGATGCAGAGAAGGGAGGGTGGACTAAGTGCTGTAATGACAGCCCGAGCGCTTCTGGAAAGCTCAGAGATAACTAATGGAGCATCACTGGAAGGAAGCAGCACCAGGCTAGAAGCCTGCGAGAAGAAGCCAGGGCAAACCCAAACAGCTCGGCACAATGAAGTGTTCAGCACTCTGGACAGCTCTCTGCGTTTGTATCTATGGGGCGCTGGTGAATTGCTCAGGTAACTTTTCTCAAACTTTTGACTTTGGTTATAAGAACAGCTCGCGTTTAAGCTTTAAAACGAACGAGCGCTGTACTTTCACATTAAATTGCCTCATCTCAAAACCTAGTGCCGATTTGGCAGGTGCTTTCTGATTGCGATTTTCCAAATTGCTGTTTTTGTAGCCAGCTCGACAGCTTATTGAAACACTATCAATTATTGCAATTAATCGACATGCTTTCGCGTATTAATGGCTTTAAACTTTCTAATGCCGAAGCTAAGATGAATGAAGTAAGATTCTTTTGTCTCGGTGTAGTGAAGAAGCTGAGCAGTAACACTGGGCGCTTCGCCAATGCCACTCTGGTTCGATTAAATGAGTTTTTAAGTGCCGGATATAAGAAAGGAGTTCGACCAGTGCGCGACTGGAGACAGTCAACGACGGTGGCCATTGACCTCATGGTTTATGCGATCCTCAATGTGGTGGGTATATAGAATTCTCAAACGTCTATTAATTATGTAAACTAATATTTTATACAATAATTGTTTACTAATTAAATATTTTGTGCCACACAGGATGAGAAGAACCAGGTCTTGACAACATATGTTTGGTACAGACAGGTATGTTGGTGGAAAATAATACATTTATTTAATATTAGGGAACCGACATCATCAAAAGTGACTGTTGTTTCACGCACTACTTGGTCACTGCAACTGCAACACTGCTACTGAATCGAATCTACAGCGCGACCCAAACGATTCCTGAACGAAAGACTCTTATGAGCCGGTTCTTTTTAACGAATCAATAACTTAGGCGAGCAGTGTAACCTCGATAACTCTTATGAGCGGATAGTGTATCAAAAACATACAACGTGATTCACGAACAACTGACTCATACAAGACGGGTATTTTTATGTGTGTATCAACAATGTACGACAAAACCAGACTCCCAGTCACAAATTACTTTTTTCTTGTTAGTAAACCATAAACGTAAACAGCAAACGTTCGATTGACAGGATGTAGGCCCATGGCTATCATCGGTTCTTTTTGTGATTTAAAAACTTACAACGTGACAGTATATATGCCTTGTCCGATTCATGAACCGATTTGCAACTTAACTTTCATTTCCGTCTCCAAATTAAACAAGAACAGTTATGTTGTACCTAATTGAGGATTATTTTATTTGATTCTTTTTTGATATGTACTTGACATTTCTCTCACTTCAAAAGGAATGGATAGATGAGTTCCTTGTGTGGGATCCTGAAGAATTTGATGAAGTCAAACAGATTTCCATTCCCACTGCCAACATCTGGGTTCCAGATATTCTCATCAATGAATTGTGAGTAGACTTGAGATAATTGAGACGTTAATAAGACACTTGTTTTGAACCATTTCAGTCACTCTTCACAGCAGTCCTTTATAAACACTCTCTTTGTTCTCTGCAGCGTGGATGTAGGAAAGTCTCCTGATATTCCTTACGTCTATGTAGGCCATACCGGGCTTGTTCGCAACTATAAGCCTATCCAGGTGGTGACCGCCTGCTCCCTCAATATCTACAACTTTCCTTATGATGTCCAAAAATGTAGCCTGACTTTCCAGAGCTGGCTGCACACAAGTGAGTAAACATGAGTAAGCTCAAGAGAGATCATTCAGATTCATCACTGACAAACTGTACCTCCTACACACAGATTCCAAGTCTAAAACCACATTTTCAGAAGAAATAAGAATGCTCTAATGTAGTATTGCAGAAATGATTCGAGCTCAATAAAAATAAGCAACATTTTCCTAAAAGCCAAATGAACTGACCTTTAACCTTATTTCATCCCATAGCTAAAGACATCAACATCACACTAATGAGAACCCCTGAGGAAGTAATGAACGACAAGCGTGTGTTCATGAACCAGGGAGAATGGGAGCTGCTTCATGTCCTCTCCACATACAACAAGTTCAGCATAGATAATGATGATTTCTATGCCGAAATGAAGTTTACTGTGAGTAACGTAATAACACCAAATTAAGCCACGGCACACATTAGCATTTGCTTTTGAAAAAAGGGGAACACTTTAGAATACTGTTCTGTCATTAATGAATTACTACACAGGAACAAATGAGTAATGCAATTTTAACATTCTAGAAACCACTATCAACTAACAAGAAACGCTGATTAACGAATTGGTAATTATAGTGCTCAGTTGAATGAGGTAGTTCACTATTAGCTAATCAATAACTACTTTTTCATACCTCCCAGAGGACTACTAAGAACTACTATATATACAGGTTCATAATTCACATGAATAATGCATTATGTATGATTAATTCTAAAGTGAAGAAGATCATGGTAACACATTAGTAATAATTCAAGTATTATTAAATCCTTCAGAAGGAATTACTAATTATTTGTAACAGTATTCTAAAGTGAAAGTTTAACCAATTAAAAATGAACTACGGATAAACATGTATCAGCATATAAATAAAGTAACATTTGCGCAAAAACCCCCCCCCCAAAAAACCCCACCAAGCTACAGAACACATTTTTTTCCAGCACCAGTGTTGGGGAAAGTTACATTTTAAAGTAATGTGTTACAATCATAGACTAAAAATTAAATAAAATAGTTGTACATTTTAAAAGTAATACGTAATTACTTTAGTTACTTGAAAATAGTTAATCTGTTTACGTAACTCACAATGTGTTCCTGAACACTGGCCAAAACTCAAAAAGCTGGCGGAAGTAAGGTTTGAAAGATATTATGACTATAATTATTATTACTCTGCAAGGATGCATCCAAATTAAATGCATTTATAATGTTACAAAAGATTTCTATTTTTATTGAACTTCTATTTCTATTCAATTCATCAAAGAATCCAGACAAAAGGTGTCTCAATCTTTCCACAAAAACTCTAGCAGAAATGTTTTCATTTTCAACATTGATAATGTTTCTTGAGCACTAAATCAGCATATTAGAATGATTTCTGAAGGATAATTTCTGAAGGATCATTCAGCTTTGCCATCATAGGAATAAACTACATTTTAAAATATATTAAAATAGAGAAAAGTTATTTAAATTTGTAATATTTCACAATAATACGGTTTTGCCTGATTTTATTTTTTATTCTAACGACTCCAAACTTTTGAATGGTAGTGTACCACTAAATGGACATGCGCCACATGTCAGGTCACATTTCTTTTGGAAAGTAGTTTTAAATTAGTGCCAAAGGGAAAGAAAAACAAAGTGAGAAAGATCAACAGATTATTGCCAGAAGGAAATACGTCTCTTTCTTTAATCACCAGGTTGTGATCCGACGCAGACCTCTGTTTTACACAGTCAACCTCCTGTTGCCCAGTGTATTCCTGATGGTGATGGACATCGTTGGATTCTACCTGCCTCCAGACAGCGGAGAGAGAGTCTCCTTCAAGATCACTCTGCTCTTGGGCTATTCTGTCTTTCTCATCATCGTCTCAGACACTCTGCCAGCAACTGCCATAGGGACCCCTCTCATTGGTAATGAGGTCTTTCTGTTTCATAGAACATGACCTGATGCATTCCAATCATTCATTCTGTATTCCCTGATTGAGGAAGCGTATAATTATGTGAGAGGTGACGTTTTGAATTTAGTCTACTGCATCTAGAGCATATTAAATGTCCTTAGTTCAAATTTTGTAGCAAGTGGTGTGATCCAATACAGTTTCCTCTCAGCTGGGCGGAATTGCGCAGGCAGAAAACAAGAGATTTCTTGAGGGTTTCAACTGAAGTCAATCCGCATGTTTATTGATTTTCAGTATAGAAGTGCAGCTGTGAGGAAGCTTGTGCGGAAATACACTGATTAATTTGAGAGATAAGGAGAGCAGCCTAGAACACTACAGAGGTTTCAGGTTCAAATGCAATTGCAAAACTAATGCTGTCAAACACACTAAAGCCCATAGAGGGCACGCAATGTTTTTCTTTCTTTCTTGAGAAAGATCATGAGAACTACTCATCTAAAATAAGTGAATACAGAATACAGCAATAAACCAGTGTGACTCTAGGCAAACCAGCAATATTATTATCTTGACACGGTTAGCATAAATTCAAAATCTAATTTAAACCAGGAAATAAACATTTTATATAAAATAAAAATTACAACAGAGAAACATTATGTAAAGGAAATGAATTTGAAACATTTAAGATCCTATACACTGCAAATTTGTGAAATTGATCGTGTGATTATATATACATGGTCAGCATTTACTTCTATCTATCATCAGGTTGTACACAAACTTGAGGAGTTCATGCAGCTAGAGTTAAATACTTATTATTAAAGAAATATTATGAAAAATTATTTTTTTTAAAGAAAAAAAAGTTAAATATTTTTGGTCAGGGGTCATTTGGACCACACTCTCTATATATTTATTTTTCTTTAGTTACTGTAAAATAAGGGCAGTTATCACATGCATTCCCCTTCCAAATTTTGGGGTCAGTAAGATTTTTTTTACTTATTAAATGAATATTTTTATTCAGTAAAGATGCATTAAATTGATCAAAAGTGAATGCAAAGACATTTGCATTTTTGCAAAAACAAAATTCTATTTCAAATAAATGCTGTTCTTTTGAACTTTCCATTCATCCAAATATCAGAGAAAATCCCAGTTTCTACAAAAATATTAAGCAGCACAACTGTTTTCAACATTGATAATAAAGAATGTTTCTTGAGCAGCAAATCAGCATATTAGAATGATTTCTGATAGATCATGTGACACTGAAGACTGGAGTAATGTTGCTGATAATTCAACCTTGCAATCACAGGAAAAAACACACATTTTAAAACATATTAACATAGAAAACAGTTGCAATAATATTTCACAACATTACCTTTTCGACTGTATGTTTGTAAAAAAAAAAAAAAAAGCAATAAACTTGTTTCAAAAACATAAAAAAATCATACCGACCCCAAACTTTTGAATAGTAGTGTATAATAAGGAAATGAATTGTTCTGTATTCGATATTTTAATTCTTACATTCTGCAAGCATTTGCTACATTGTGTTTCTGGCCATTAATAGCATGCTTTGCTCAGAAAGAACGCTGCATGTAACGGCGTGTTATGTCTGTGTGTTTGAGTGTAGGTGTGTACTTTGTGGTATGCATGGCGCTGCTGGTCATCAGTCTGACCGAGTCTGTTTTGATCGTGAGGCTGGTGCACAAGCAGGATCTTCAGTCTCGTGTCCCGCAGTGGGTCAAACACCTGGTGCTGGAGAAGGCCACAGTCCTGCTCTGCATTCGCAACAGGAAGGTCTGCTCGCTCCTCTCGCAGGGCTCTGACCTGCCGCTCTACAAAGAGAACAACATGAACACAGGTAACTGACCCTGCGCCAAGCCCCTCCTGACCAATCCTACCGTAGCAACTGTTTCCATTCGCTAAATAAGGGTTATTTCTAATGTATTTTTTTACTTTTTGTCTTTTCGCAAAGTGTTCTTTCAGACTAGTGGAAAGAAAACATCCAAAATACACTTTTAACTGTACCTTTTATAGCACTTTATCTATTTGCGTCTGTAGATCTTCAAAGGTCATTTTCTGACCTTTGTGTTTTTTATTCAGAAATCTCCACTTCAGCAGCACTTACATACACCACACTACAGTTTTATTCCTATCTATGTTCTGAAGGTTTTTACATAAGGGTTTGTTCATATATAATTTGCCTGATAATGTTTTTTTTTTTTCTGGCTGTTGACAGTATTTTCTGATTTATGGAATGATAAAAAGAGATATCCAAAATCCCCTCTGTAAAAACCTTTGACTCAAAACTGGCTTTATACAATGTTCAGCTTTTTGTTGTAGAAATGTATGCAAAATAGTGCATATTTAAACATTATTCAGAAAACTTGTTATACAATTTTGGTTTTGCAAATTCATAATGTAATCAATCCACAAAGCAAGTATGGTGAAATCTATTAGTTCATTTATTTTTACCCTATTCACCTGGGGTGTCTTGCCTATTAACCTAAAATCTCAGGGCATACCTCTGGTAAATATTTGATGTCTAAGGATGATGACACAGGTTTTTTGGGAACCCATGCACTAAATGACCTGGGCAAGGATTTGCTCTTTTCATAATGCAAGTGTTTGCAATTGTTCTAAGTGCATCTTTACAGAAACGTTCAAATATTGTTGTGGACTATGGGTGGGCCAGTAAGGTTTAGATCCAGTTCTCTAGGTGGTCTGTTTTTACAGATTAAACAAGCTCTGAAACTCACCTGTGATTTGTTTTTAAGCGCTTCACTGCAACCACCACAGCTGCGAGGGATCCAGAGACTCCGGGAGAAACCTGGGCTTGAGCCTGTCCGCGCGGGACACCGGACCTCCCGTCATGGACGGCATCCTGCGCGAGATCACCACCATCCGTCAGTTCATGGAGAAGAAGGATGAGAGCAGGGAGATCGCTAAGGAGTGGCTGCAGGTGGGGTACGTACTGGACGTCCTGCTGTTCCGCATCTACCTGCTCACCGTGTTGGCCTACAGCATCACTTTAGGCACACTGTGGTCCGTCTGGCAGACCGTCTGACCGCAGACATGGGTCACAGAGGGAAGGCGCCAATTCTGTCTCACTGCTAAAAGTAAATGCAGTGTTTGACGTAGTTTGAATGCTGGTAATGCGATTGTTATCCCACAAGAGAATAACTTGAGCACCATAGAGGAGAAATGTGCTTTCAAATCAAGAGTTATTACTTGTAGACTGCTGTTCTTACCAGATGAATGCTCTGAAGTCTCTGAAAAAAGCATACAGAATACATGTATGATTGTTATATCTGTGTGAGACTCCTTTCGTACAGCAGTAAAACATAAAAAGAAGTAATAAAAATGAACGACTCACATTTTAGATACATTATGGGAAGCTATTTTGGGTTTTTTCCTCCACCAATGGAAATAGTTCCAAAAGAAGCCAAAGAAAGAAGCAGCAAAGTCAGACAAACAAAGCTTTAAAGCCTATATGACATGCATATATAACTCACTGTTGAACAGTATATCAAAACTTTTAGCAGTGTATTGTCTTTTTTTAAAAAGTATTTCAATACTACGAAAAAATATCTTACTGCATTAGAGGTCAAACACGCACTACCATTCAAAGTTTGGGGTCAGATTTGTTATTAAAACAACAACAAAATTGTTTCATTCAGCAACAATACATTAAATGAATCATTTATAATGTTACAAAAGATTTCTATTTCAAATAAATGCTGTTTTTAAAAAACTTATTTCCCAAAGAATCCTGAGAAAAATGTTTCACTGTTTCCTCAAAAATATTAAGCAGCACAACTGGTAACATTGATGATAATAAGAAATGTTTCTTGAGCAAAGCAGCATATAGAATGAATTCCGAAGGATCATGTGACACAGAAGACTGGAGAAATGATGCTAAAAAATTCAGCTTTGCCATCACAGCAGTAAATTATATTTTAAAGTTGTAATATTAGTTTTGATCAAAGAAATGGTGAGCATAAGAGACTTCTTTAAAAAGCATGAAAAATCTTACTGTAACTTTTGAACGTTAGTGTATGCTAGTAAATGCTTTGTAAATGCTGGAACCCAAATCATTTTGGTTTTATATTGTCATGAAAACAACAATCGATTATTTAGGTTCAAATATCCTCCTCTGTTATCCTGATCAAATCTGTAGTACTGTGAAAAATATGCTATCCTGTTACTGAAATGAAAACATCCTGTAGATTGTCTGTATTGTATGTCTTGAGAAGATGTTTGACCGTGTCTGTATTGTGTTTCCTCTCTTCCAGCCCAAGGGGGGTTGAGTTTTAGTCGTTGCCCGTGACACTAAATGTACTAATTGTAAAGATTTTCACCTCACTGGGAATGCACTCAGCAGGCCTGGGGTGATTGGATAAATGCCATCGACACCCTACATAATTAAAGAAAAAAAAAAAAAAATCAGTTAGACAGTAAATGGGAGCATTGATCCCAATACAATCAATGTGGCCACATCTCTCCATCCTGCTTTCTGCTCCCCACAGTCCTGAATTTACAGAGTAACTTCACATTTTACAAAGAACAAGAGTTTGATGTGTGTCTTAGTAAATGCCAGTCTTGATGTAAATTAAATAAATATGTCATTATGATTAACATGATCATAATTACATTTCAACTTTAACCAGCAGAGGGCTTCTAAGGCCATGTAATGCAGGTAAGACACTGCTGATGTGAGGGACATCATTACATACTTTCACTGGTATCTGTAATATTATATACAGTCTGCATTAGCCGTGGACACAATATGATTCCATTGCCAGACGAATTTCATTATCAACCAAGAACGGAATGTTGGCATGGTGAAGTTGGCAGTGTAATTCCTGAAAGCCATGCACAGTCATAACAACTGGCTTCAAGTGGCATTTGTAGGCTGTTACTTGTTTTGCAAATTCATGTGCTGGAGGTCGTCCACTGGGCCTGCTCGCACCCGCAGGCACGGCTTAGCTGGGAACACAATTGAAGGGATTTGGGAAGACCGCGTCCACCATTCAGTCTTTCGCTGTCTAAACTTCCCTTGTCCATTAGATCATATCTGGGTCAAAGAGCAACCAAAGATAGGACGCCCTGCTCGTCACACAAAAGCTATTCACGCAGAGGAGGTCACATGACCTTTGCCGAAATCTGGCGGTCTTGGGTGCCAGCAGCAACGGCGTCACCTTTAACGATGCTTCACTTTCCAAAGCGAATAGACAATCTGATCTGAACCATGCGGTCTTTCACAGACGATCATTAAAAAAAAATCAGTTTCATCTAAAGAGATAGACCTAATTAAAAGTCTCATTAGCTCAGCACTCTGAGGTAGCATTGTGTGCTATATATGAGGCACATGATTTACAAAGAGAGTTAGAAGTGAAAAGATAGCAGCGTTTCATTAGCCACTGTAAATGTGCGCTTACATTTACCGTTGTTCTGTGAATGAATTTCACTTCACGAAGAATTCGCAACAGGTTCAAGTTTTTCCACGAATTCACCGCGTTCCCAACAGAAGCTGGTTGTTTTGAAAGTGACCTCTGAGCTGTGCTTCGTGCATCGCTCCACTAATGGCATTGGCAATACACAATATGCATGAATTTTCTGCTAATGTTACTGCTAATTAGCAGGGACCAATCAACAGTGAGATGACGTCATGGAGGAACTTGTATTATACACTCCTAAACAAAATCTTAAGACCGGGGGAAACATTGCAAGTATTTGCATTTCGCACTGGTGGATCATAACCGGGTTGTAAGTACTGCTTCAAAATGCCAAAAGAAGAAACAGGAGCAAGAGACAAAAAATAGAGAGTTGGCAATTTATTGAAAACTGCATTTAAACTTAAACGGGCTGGTCATCAGCTGAAAAAAGTTTAAGACCATAGCCCAAAAATAAACCTACAACAGAACTAAAAGTGTCAAAAAACGACTCAGTAGTGAGTAGCCCCACCGTTCTTGTTGATCACTCAAACACTCGTTTCAGCATGCTTGATGGGACTGTTTCCAGGAGGCTGCTGGGAACGTTGCTCCATGTGGTGAAGATGGCTTCACGAAGGGCATCCACGGTCTGGAACTGACGTCCATTTTTGTAAACTTCCCTTGCCATCCATCCCCAAATGTTCTCAATGGGATTTAGAACACGCAGGATGGTCCAAAAGAGTGACGTTATTCTCCTGGAAGAAGTCCTTCGTCAGGCGGGCGTTGTGAATTGCAGCGTTGTCCTGTTGAAAGACCCAGTCATTACCGCACAGACGAGGGCCCTCAGTCAAGAGGGATGCCCGCTGCAACATTTGACGCCCCTGCACAACCTGAAGCTCCATTTTCCCATTGAAGGAAAAAGCACACCAGGTCATGATGGAGCCTCCTCCACTGTGCCGCGTAGAAAACATCTCCGGTGGGATCTCCTTGTCATGCCAGTAACGTTGGAAGCCATCAGGACCGTCCAGGTTAAATTTTTTCTCGTCAGAGAATAAAACTTTCTTCCACCTTTCAATGGCCCATGTTTGGTGCTCCCTTGCAAATTCCAAACGGGCAACTTTGTGGCGTGGGAGGAGACGTGGCCTTTGAAGACGTTTCTGGTTCTTGAGTTTGGTTATTGGGCTACAGTCAGCATCAGTAAGTGCAACCCGTCGGATCCTGCGGCTCAGTGCAGGTGAATTTTTTTTTGGGTCTACCACTTGACTTTTTTGTCCCATAATTCTCAGGATCTTTTAAGAAATGTAAAATGACTGTCTTACTGCGTCCAACCTTGCCAGCGATGGCGCGTTGCGAGAGGCCTTGCTTGTGCAGCTCAACAATCCTGCCACGTTCAAAGAGAGAAAGCCTTTTTGCCTTTGCCATCAGGAGATCATGACAGTGCGACTGCCTGAAGATCAATGACACGAAAGCCATATTTTTGTGCAGATTTTACCTTTTTATGCCTATGGTCTTAAACTTTTGATCAGTCTGTTTAAGTTTAAATGCAGTTTTCAATAAATTGCCTACTCTCTATTTTTTGTCTCTTGCTCCTGTTTCTTCTTTTGGCATTTTGAAGCAGTACTTACAACCAGTTAACGCTCCACCAGTGCGAAATGCGAATACTTGCAATGTTTCCCCCGGTCTTAAAGGGATACTCCACTTTTTTTGGAAATAGGCTCATTTTACAACTCCCCCAGAGTTAAACTGTTGAGTTTTACCGTTTTTGAATCCATTCAGCCGATCTCCGGTTCTGGCGGTACCACTTTTAGCATAGCTTAGCATACATCATTGAAGTGGACAAGACCATTAGCATTTCTAAAGAAAAATGACCAAAGAGTTTTGATATTTTTCCTATTTAAAACTTGACTCTTCTGTAGTTACATCGTGCACTAAGACCGACGGAAAATGAAAAGTTGCGATTTTCTAGGCTGGTATGGCTAAGAACTATACTCTCATTCCTGCGTAATAATCAAGAAACTTTACTGCCATACCATGCAGCAGGCATAATGATATGACGCAGCGCCTGAAAATAGTTCCGTTGTGTTGACGGAAGGTGGCCTATTTTCAGGCGCTGCGTCATATCATTACGCCTGCTGCTCTCATGGTACGGCAGTGAAGTTTCTTGATTATTACGCAGGAATGAGAGTATAGTTCTTAGCCATACCAGCCTAGAAAATCGCAACTTTTCATTTTCCGTCGGTCTTAGTGCACGATGTAACTACAGAAGAGTCAAGTTTTAAATAGGAAAAATATCAAAACTCTTTGGTCATTTTTTTTTGAGAAATGCTAATGGTCTTGTCAACTCCAATGATGTATGCTAAGCTATGCTAAAAGTGGTACCGCCAGAACCGGAGATCGGCTGAATGGATTCAAAAACGGTAAAAACTCAACAGTTTAACTCTGGGGGAGTTGTAAAATGAGCCTATTTCCAAAAAAGTGGAGTATCCCTTTAAGATTTTGTTCAAGAGTGTATATAGGCTACTAGTTCGGACTATAGTCCAGTCATTTTATGAAAAAAGGTTGAACAAATTGCAACGGAAGCAAACTCAACTGATTTTGTATCCTCAATATGTCCTGAGTAAGGACAAAAAGCCCAGAAGAATCCCATTAGGGGAAAGTTTCGAAAAAGACCCAAATATATCCCATTCATACGCCTATTCATTCTTTTTCTCACGTGAAAAGGGTAAAAATTTTAACCTTTAGATCTCATCATAAAAATCACTGAGTTGATTACAAACGAAAAATGTATTATACGTTTTTTGAAATTGTTTGTTAACATGGACAAACGGTGCATAATATAATTGCGTATTAATTTGCATAATTACCCAAACAGATCTAAACATTGGGTATAGCAGGTGAACATGTTTTTTTTTAATCTTGTTGACATATAACAGTAAAAGACTTAATGTTAAGGTCTGAATGGAACCCATTTAGGCTACCCATGAACATTAATACAGGAAGTAGTACTTTAGAAACCAGCCTTTATTAATTATTATGGCAGAGATGGGGTTTGGGCTTTGAGTGCATTGTGTACGTAATTAGATTTTTCTGATCCAGACACTTTTTATTTCACCTACCTTTTGTCTTCTGCATTCTCCTTACCCATGTCTCCTGTTCTTCC